AAACTACGATTAAATATGATGGAAGAGCCACTGTACTGTACTCGTGTGTAATAGTGGGGCCAAATTATGTCTACAACAAAGACCCATAACTAAAAAAATAGAAGTATGAAAAGTGCATAATTTAAGAAATTCGCAATTAATGGAAGTAGTTTATTTTTTCCAAGTTAGATTAGCATTTCTTTCTTTGTTAATTATATTATTAGTATACAAAACAGAAACGTTAGAGTTTGCGTGACGTTTCGGTATACGCCCTTCACTTCTCAAGCGTTGTTGGTTAGGTTAATGCCCTTGCTATCGCTCGGTGCCTTGCTAACTGGAAGTTCGGGCAGCATCTACCATGCTCTTGATATCTTGCGAAGTATTACTCATAATTGACAGCCCCCTCCTATACATGTAGGTGTGTGTTCCGGTAAGCTGTTCCCATCGTCTACTCATTTCTTAATTTACTTACTTACTTACCCGGAAATGCGCGTACTTGTCAATAAAAGTACGTATGGTTTTGTCAAATGAATGAGTGAATGTATATAAATTATATTTCTGTTTTTGTTAAAAAAAACTGTTCAGTTATAACAATAAAACAAATATAGCGCTCCATGTTTTTCCTAGTAATTATCAGGACAATTTGCTGTTCAGCTTTTAGAATTGATTATTAACACTAGTTGTAACTAGAGGACACTTTTTTAGTAAATAGGTGGAAAATATATATAATAACTGAAGACAAGCTCAGCATATCTTTTTGAAATTGTATTTATAAAGTAAATCAACTTTTGCCAATAGCGAATAATTCATAAAGACTCATTATAGCCATTTGTAACAAAGTTGTGTCTTGGATGAACAGATTAAAGATCGTATGTGTATCTTTAAAACATCGGAATTTTTATCTGTTTTGTCAACCCAAAAATAACTAATTTTAGTCAAAACTTATCGCACAAGAAAATCTTCTGAAGAGTATAAAACATGTAACTAGTATTGGGAGTCATTAAATAGAACAAGTTTTAAAATCTAGTCTACTGCTTTCTTCCACACCAAATGTTTATTTTAAAATTATCAGTTAACTATTCTATGAACTTATTTAGAGAAGAATATGGAGGAATATGTCATTCATGCTATATCCAGTACCAACAAACCCTATCTAAAACACATGCATGCATACTGGGTCCACTAACAGAGGAAACACACAAACAATAAGTACCCAATATTTTCATTAGTTTTGCTTTTGGTTTTACAATACTTTACACTTATCAAGTAGATATGTATGTTTTAAATATAGAAAAATAATAATTAGTTTCCTGTAAACAAAATAAGTAGTACAGAGTTCATGATTGTACCAATCTTTAATTTTTTAAGCAAAGATATATTGTGCATATAAATATACACTTTTTTTTATGTTAAACTAGTGTTTGTCTAGAGTTGATTCAATTCTCCGAAAAGGGCATTGCATTGTGGTTGGTTAACGATACAATAATCAACCAACAATAAAGTTTACTTTTGTAATTTGTAACTAACTGATCGTATAATGAGAAAATGTTTTGTTTAGCTAACTATAGAAGTCTTTTAAAAGTTGTTACAAAATACATTTACTGCAGTAATGGTAAAGTATACTGTCTTAAGCTTAAAGCAGAGTCTGCTTCTTAATGTGATATGTAGTGGTAAATTTGTATACTTGTCAATGAAATAACATTACCTATGGTCATATAAGAACTATTAACCACCTTAGAACTCGTAATTTTAGCCAATTAGATGTCTACAAAACCATTCTCACTTGTATATTTTATATTTTTCTCAGTTTGAAAATTTCTATGAAATATTAGTTGAAGTATATATATAAAATGTGAAAAACATTTTGTTCAGTTCTTAAGAATTTGTGTAGTATACCAGTTTCCTTAATATCAACTTGTTTTACACCCAGAATAAATCTGGGTCAGTTATTATTTGTTATTTAAGTCAAGAACAGAAATGGACTTCTTGTTATGTGTGCGTATATACAATATTAGAATTATTATTTTTTTGCTGCTTGTAATTGCTGTAAATTTTAAGTTTTGTTGTATCATTTGTACATGATGAAAGAAATATGATAAAATTTACTTAAAAGTTATTTAGATTGTATAATAGAACATTGATTCAAACTTATTCATGTAATCTTTATTTGGTGAAAGTCTACTTAAGTGTCTTCTCAACAAAGTGCTCATAAATAAACTTGAAAGCTTGCAGTAAGTACCAAATATACAATGTAGAGTTAGGGCTGTTAGGCCAACTTAATATTCTTTAAAATTTTGTTTTGAATCATAATACACTTTTTATATTGGTGTTCCATATGCTCTTATTTAAATTTAATTCAGCAAGTCAGTGCATTTTTTGACTTAAAAGTTCAGTTTACTGCTGTTATTTCAAGTATCCAAGTATGATCTATTTTCATTATTTTCTTTTAACTACGCTTTAAAACTTTTAACATACAAGTGGAGATCTTGTAAGTGAAGTACTCCATCTCTCAGGAAGAATTATTTCACCATACTCTCTTGATGGAACACCATATTATCTTTTTTAAGCAGTTTCTCCTACTTGCTGCTAACAGTACTGTTTAATGTGACATGTTTTTAGGAAATTAGTTGAAAACGTTTTCTTACATTTAAAATCTTCCTTTGTAACACATTTTAACCAGGACATTAATTAATATTAACTTCTGATCAGAATAACGTGCCCCTTAGATGTAAACTAAAATAACCAACCTGGTAATGTGAGTATAGATAACCAAATACACTCCTAAATATTTACTGTTGTAATTCTGTTCTTTCTTTGTGTGGGTTCTTTTAAGTTATTTGGTAAATATAATACAAAGTCAGTCCATTTAACAATAACAGATTAGTTTATTTCTCTAACATTTGCTACATGCTACTTATACTTGTACACAGTCATACTTGTATGTTTAAATTCCCAAGTAATATTTTCACTTTCAACAGAGATTTACTCACTACTGGTACTATGATTAACACAAAAATAAACTTGTACAATTTTGTGGCTAATTGGTTGATGAACTAAATGTACATGATAATTAACACTAGCTCAAATACTTCACTGAATGATTGGAACTCTACCAATTGAAAAATTGACTCAGTGCTTCACCAATTCTTGTACTTATTATATAGCCTTGTTTCTAGGCATGTCACAAAATTTCTCAATTTCCAGTACTCAAGGACTACTTTTATAAATTTCTTTTATCTTAACGTTGTGCGCACTCTAGCTAACATCCAAATGAAAACATTGAAAATATAGCTTGCAACAGTTCAATACATTTGCTATTAATATTTTCTGACTTAAACCTCTTAATATCTCTTAATGTTCAGCAAGCTTAGGATATTTAGGCTAGTCCAAATTTCATACACTAAGCTAACAGTGAAAACAATTTTAATAATAAAAAATATAATACTATAGAAATTAAAAGTAATAAAACTAGATACATTAAACCACTAACCAATACTGTTAAGTAACAGAGTATACCTTAGAAAACACACAAACATTAGTTGTAAGTTTCAAGTTTGATAAACTTCTGAGTAGTCTTGTGATTCTTCTATTTGAACATGCAGGTTTTTCCTTGATAGTTGAAGAAATTTCAAAACATTGATTTGTAACAGCATATTATTTTTTGTAATTGCACAAGTACATATATCAAAGGACACTTGGAGTTTGTGCTGGTGTGGCTATTGTTCATTGAGTAAACATGGTCTAGACAGCATCTTTTTTTTTTATGAATCTCTTCTGATATATAAAATCCCATGTACTTGCACTTTTTATTCAAGAATAAATAATAGTAGCTTTCGTCAGAAAGAGTATTACTGTATTCTTCCAACAACAAATATAGTTTCTCAGTCATAATCAGCAAAGTTGTCTACCACATCTCATGTACTAAATGAACTTCCAGTCTATTAAATACCACCTTCTTGCCTGTTTGGCTAATGAAAAACTTGTCTACAGTGATACCACTATTGTATATAAATGGTACAAGTAGTCTTTTATCTTTATGTAATATGATTATTTTGTCTTTTAGACTTTTTACACTAAAAATAATAACTTGCTTCATGCAAAATTTTAAAATTATTTTGTAAGGTTGTTTGGATTTGAAACCAGTATGCTTGATTATTAGAAGTAGTAGGTTTGTGCTAAGAAAAAAGATGATTGTTTATTTAGAAAAATGGGAAATTAGATTTAAACTACATGTACAAATTATTCATATCATAACTTCCAAAATCTTTATCTAAAAGGATACATAAGTTTTTCTTATTCATGTCTATTATATAAGCTTTTAATTTCTTCACATATTTTATTCTGTGGCTTTTCCAAATCTTGGACAGAGCCTATTTTTACTTTTTAGTTATTCAGAGTTGAATGTTACCAACATCGAATATATATGTGTGTGTGTAGTTTTGAAAATATACATCTATGTCTTTAATACTTAAGATTTATGTTGAAATATAAAATTGCAAGTGTGAAACTGAAAATTTCCGTAATATATTACAAGAATTTGGAGCAAGTTTGTTTATAGCAACCTAACATCATTTTGACTACTACATTGCACTATTCTTTCATTACAGAATTTAAATTCAGTTGAGGTCCTTAAATTATTTAACATTTACATATTGATATAACAATAATAAAAAATAATTGTATCAAAGTGGTAAATAAATCTCTGTATCATCATCAGATGAATATCTAATTGTACAAATATTCAAAACTTCAAAAATAATTGAAGCAGTATACGGGAAACTAGTGGATGTTACTCATTTTAATTTATGGCAATATTTAATTTAACTTAATCCAGTATGTATGTACATATTGTAGAAATATAATTAGCTGGAATTCCAGTATGTAAAAATTGAGATGAATAAAGGGTGAATATTGGGAGATAAAACATTTGTAGGTAATGAACCTATTCAGTTAATAAGATTAAGCTTTGATATGGGTGTTTGTTAAGATACTTTGTTCTAAGACATTATTTTTATTGGCAGATGGTACTTTGGCAAGATTAAAAGGATAGAAGCAGAGAAAAAGCTTCTCTTGTCAGAAAATGAACATGGTGCATTCCTCATCAGGGACAGTGAAAGTCGACGCAATGACTATTCTCTTTCTGGTAAAATCTACATTTGTATCAGCATTCTAGTCACATTTTACAATTTTATCAAATATTTAGTATGAAATGGTAACGTGCGTGTTAGCAAAGTAACATTTTACACTATCTTTTCATTTTAAATATTCAGTAGATTCGTGCCTGTATAAACTGCTTGATTAAATATTAATAAATAGAATAGTGTATCTCTGTTTTTCATTTCATGCTTATAATGTGCAAGAATTATGTCTTGTACACTATTTTGATTGAAATAATTAAAGCATGATGGAATGTAGTATTATAGTGTGATTTATCTTTAAATCTTAATTGGAGTTGCCTGTTCTGCCTTGAAACATTGTACTGATATATATATATATATATATATATCACTATGATGAATTATTAAGTTGAAGTGTTAATATTTGAACAGAAATCTTGTTTGAAATTTAGTGAAAGATGGAGACACTGTAAAACATTATCGTATTAGACAGTTGGATGAAGGAGGTTTTTTCATTGCTCGTCGTACAACCTTTCGTACCCTTCAAGAACTTGTGGAGCATTACAGCAGTGATCCTGATGGTCTGTGTGTAAACCTTCGGCAACCTTGTGTACAGGTAATTAAAGAAAATGTTATATAGATTTAATTTCTTTAATTGATTTATTTATCTAGCATACAGTATACGGTGGAAGGTTGTACTTAAAAAAAATATTGCATCTTTTATATTTATTAGTTGCTCTGAATAGTTGTCCTTGTGTCTGTGTGAAAGTAATTGGAAACACTTAACACATAACAGAGTTAGATTTATTAATTTTTTCTATAATGGCTTTGAATTTTTTTTTCAGAATTACAGTATCATTTAGTATTCCTGAATATAGTTTTACACAAAGTTAATAAATATTTTGTATTATACAAGAGAAGCTTGTAATTGAGAAGTTAAGTACATCATGCCATTATTATATTATGTAGAGTTTTTTGATAGAATCATCTTAAATGTGTTCCATGAGCCTGATGCTGTAGTGATAGGTTTAATAATCCAAATAATTCTTCAGAGCCTTTAAATGTTAAAAAAAAAAACAGTTGGATATAGATGTGGTCTTAGATTAAGTCATTTTGTGAATGTATATAACCTTTAGTAAGAAAACGAGTTGTGTGGGATAAGTGACATAGTCATCAGGTACCATCAATGAAGATGTTTTCTTTCTTAGTATAACTGCATCATATTTTTATGTACTTTTCAACTATGTTTCTTTCTTTATTGTCCACAGGTTGAGAAACCAACAACAAGTGGCCTTTCCCATAATACCAGAGATCAGTGGGAGATAGAACGTAGCTCTTTAAAATTTGTCAGAAAGCTTGGTCAGGGCCAGTTTGGTGAAGTTTGGGAAGGTTTATGGAATAATACTACTCCAGTGGCTATAAAAACTCTAAAACCTGGTAGGTTCACTTCAAGGACACAATAATTTACTTGTTCAGAACTAAGAACATGTATGAAGAAGTTCTTGGTCACGTTATTCACTGTTTCATCAAAATATTTCATCAGGTTATATATATATATATATATATAAAGTAAAACTAGTGTGACAAGATATTTTGGATAAAGTATATCCTACAACCCTTTCTGTATTGATTATGCATATTTATAGTTAGTGGTAAATATCTTTGACAAACTAACTTCAGTGCACTGTTAGTAACAAGATTCCCGTGCTGTCTGGTCCTGATTGGTAGTTTGTAGAGTGTCTAACCAAATCAAAGTATTCCTGTGCTTCCTTGTATTCAGTGATTGCACTGGTCATATTTTTCCAATCATGCACTGAGAAAACTAAAATATAAGTCAACTTCTCTAATGTCAGGCACAATTAGTCAAATGCAAATCTTTTAACTCTCTCACTATGGGCTTGGTCCCAGGGTCTGACCTCATAAACATTCTATGCGTGTTATAGTTTTTATGCTATAACTTTCAATACAGTAAGCATATCTTCACAAAATGTTTGAGATTATAAGTAAACATTACAAGGCTTTCATATGCAAAATATCAGATTTTAAGCAATGTTTGTTTTTCATGCATTTTTTCTTTTTTAATGTTGACTATTTAACATGCAAAGTAATTTTGATTTTAAGATTAAAAATACTTTTATGCATCAGAAATTTTTAAAATTTCACGTGTGAAACCTTTATAACCCCAAATAATTATCAAATGTTCTTTTTCAGAAAAAACTTTACATTTTATCTGTTATTTTTCCTATTGTATCTCTGTACGGGTTTGGTCGATGTGACCGACCACATAATCACCATAAAAATTAGGAAATAGATGTAAATTATATTTTTTTCATTCTAGAATGACGAAATTATAACATGAAAATACAAATGTTTAGTCTAAGTAGCTTAAATCTCGTAACATTATACATCCACATATAAAACTGGCCTTTAAAAAGTGACCCATCTTAGCTGTATTCTAATGGAGCAGTGTTTGTAAAATACAGTCATATTTTAGTTATAATTCATTATATATACACCTGGAAAAAAGTTAAGCACCCCCAAATATTTTTCAGGATTGCTTATTGAAGATAAGGTTTAATTTTCATGATGTTGAGCAATGTTCATAATTTCAAACATAATTAAAAGGATGTGAGCGTTCAGGTGTGACATTTAAATCAGGTGCGTTTTTTTCCCCACGTGCAACTTGCTCCCTTCTTCAC